TAAGTAACAATTGAGTTACGATGTTTTGAAAATTGGCCAAACTCCCGGTCAAAAGTTCGAGGACACTTAATGAAGTTTTTAATGGAATAATCAAAATAATGGATGGTGGACAATCTCAGGGACCATTTCTATTGATTTTCAATCTCAAGAACCAAAGCGATGTATTATGCAAATCTCATAGACCAATTTAGCTAAAAAACCTTTTTAATATGATGTTTGTATTGGTGGATAATATCCATGCAGTTTCTTGTACATACCAACTTAAACCTAACTTGTAATTTAGGTTTTTTTTTTTTTTTTTTTTTTACATTAAAAAAAAAGAATGATACAGAAATTGAATCGAAACCGTCAATGCAATCAGGAATAACAGGTGTCGTCTATGATGGAATGGAGAACCCACTTTTGGTCCCCATGATAGGGTGCCAAATATATACCCGGCCAAATTTCATGTCATATTCATAGATAATGGTGGCAGGTTTATATACCAGTATTGCAAAAACAAAATTCTATTTACCTTTCAAACATTTCTTTTTATTTTTTACTTTCGGATAGAATGAATTAAAAAAAAATCAATAGCAAAAAATTAACAAGAATGTGTAAGAAGTTAAAATGGATGCATAAATGTCACTTAGTACTACGGTTTAAGTGATATTTTTCTTCGCTTGTAAGTGAGAGGTCTTAGTTTAATTATTGTCAAAGACAAATTTGAACCACATTATTGCTAGCTCATTGTGAGACTGAACTCATCTCCCTCCCTCTTAATGTAGATAATATCGTTTGTTAAAAAAAAAAAAATGTAAATAACACTATCCTAGTAAATATTATGATTCTTGATTTTAACACAATGTGTCTCTTGAGTGAAACTCTCCTCCCTTGGTATATCAATTTCGCTTAAACCAATTCTTTCTCTTCACAATTTCACTCAATTCAAGTAAATATATCGCCTTTTACTATTACAATTTGATGATATTTTTCTTTATTTTTAAATGAAAGGTTTTAAATTCAAATTTTGCATATGGTAAGTTAGATATCAATTTCATCTCACACCCGTTAATGTAAATACATATTTTATATAAAAAATAATAAGTAAACATACCATGAGGTGTTTAGTTAAGAACTTTGGCGTTTGGCCTACCCACAAAACCAATAGGTCCCTTTTCTTTTGTGGGGACATGTTTGTTTGGTCTCTTTGTTGATGGATTTGGCTGATCGAGAGACAATTGAAAAGGGTGCAATCTTGCCCTACAAAACCCAAATCTTCAAACTTAATTGGGGCAAGACTCTTATCTTAACTTATAAGATATGCAAGTGAATGTTGTTGTCAAGGGTACATATGCTACTTTCACGTCTACATCTTCAAACCGTTGAAGCACACATTATAGACAATAGCAAATATATTTGATTCGTACACTCTTTTTACCTTTTACACGCAGTTTTTAATTTTTTATCATCTGATCGAAATGAATTAAAAATGATCAAACGACAAAATTAACATGGGATGTGTGAGAGGTAAAAAAAAAGTGTGTAGATAGCACAATAAAAATATAAAACTGTGATGAATTTGTGTTTGGTGCGGCAATTTGAAGTTCATAGCTATGGCTTGTAGTAAATTTATGACTTTTTTATTAGCAGTCAACAACCTAAATATGTTTTAGACGAAAAATACTCTTAAATGAAATTACATTATTACAGAAGAATGCAACAATACAAGCTACAAGTGTTCATGGTTGTGATGGGTGGTGCAATTTAGGGAGGTAGGCATATGGTGGTGCGGTTCATATTAGCTTATATTATACTAATAGTCAAGCCTTATAAGGAAAGGAATTCTCATTTTTTGAAAAAAAAAATGGAAATTAGTTGTGAATTATTTATTTTGTAAGTCTTGCAAAAGTTGAATTAAATCCGAACTATTTGCCTATTTAATTATTACGATGAAATTTTTATGTTTTCTTAGAACGAAGTGTTTGTCAAATTTTTTTAACTAAATTACTTGTCTTAAATATTTCCGATTTGATTAATATTTTTCAAGAATGATTTATGAGGTAGAACATGAAGAAATAGACGGTTTAGTAATGCAAAAAAAAAAAAAAAAAAAAAGAAAAAGAAAATAGTGCATCCAATTATTTATGTATATGGAACCCTTGTGCCACGTCACCACTAGAATCATCACTTGACGTAACGCTGTGTTCCGATTACCACAACCTAGACGTTTTACACATAACTGTTAATTTTCTTTCACTGTTTTTCTAGTCAACTGGGGCGGCTCAATGCTTATTTATTTTTGAAACTTTTTTAAATATCATTTGAATTTATGCATATTTTTTAATTTATTATATAAAATGTATAAAAATTTGTTATATTAATTTTCTATAATCTTTAACTCGTCATTTCTTTTAAATTCATGTTAAGTTTTCTGTATAAAAGAAGTTTTTGTTCATTCATTTCGGAATGGTTTTGAACTTTTACCTTTACACAAGTTTTCTACTTCTCTTTAGAACCAAAAAATTTTGGCTAGTAAAAACAATATGCCACATTTTTTAAAACTTACGGTGATCTACTAGCAAAGTATATTAGGCTCACTAACATTGAGTTTAACTATTTACAAGCTGTGAGGATTCAACGTGGTCAATCATGTTTATTAATTTTGCTTAAATTACCAATTTCGTTAGTTGGATTGAAGGAAATGCTTTTCTTTGAAGGAACATCATATCTTTAGTTCTTTCAAATCGATTTTATAGTTGGAGCATCAAAATGTAATGGAAATTTGTCTTACAAAACAAATTGATTAATGATTATAAATAACCGAATTACGATAATTAGTTTTAGTTATTAAAAAAATCATGTTGGCATCAAAAACAAAATACCAAAATCAGAGTAAAAAAAAATTCTCTCAAATTCCCTCCCTAAAGAGCTTAGTTTTGCAAAATATGGGTAACACATACAATGTAACATCCCACATCGCCCAGGGGAATGATCCTTATATGTATATTCCTATCTCTACCTAGCACGAGGCCTTTTGGGAGCTCACTGGCTTTGGGTCCATGGGAACTCTGAAGTTAAGTGAGTAGCGCGCGAGAGCACTCCTAGGATGGGTGACCCATCGAGAAGTTCTCGTGTGAGTTCCCAGAAACAAAACCGTGAGGGCGACGTCAGGGCCCAAAGCGGACAATATCGTGCTACGATGGTGGACCGGGTCCTGGAAGTGATCCGCCTCGGGCCGGGATGTGACAATTTGGTATCAGAGCCTAACCCTGGTCATGTGTGCCGACGAGGACGTCGGGCCCCTAAGGGGGGTAGATTGTGACATCCCACATCGCCCAGGGGAATGATCCTTATATGTATATTCCCATCTCTACCTAGCACGAGGCCTTTTGGGAGCTCACTGGCTTCATGTTCCATAGGAACTCTGAAGTTAAGCGAGTAGCGCTCGAGAGCACTCCCAGGATGGGTGACCCATCGAGAAGTTCTCATGTGAGTTTCCAGAAACAAAACCGTGAGGGCATGGTTGAGGCCCAAAGCGGACAATATCATGCTACGATGGTGGAGCGGGTTCGGGAAGTGGTCCCCCCCCGGGCCGGGATGTGACATACAATTTGTTTAACCTCTCTCTATATTCACTGTGAAAAAGAAAAATGAGTCTTTGAAATGTTAACGAACTAACGCTTTTTACATCCTAACTGAAGGATGAGGTAATATGAGATAATGTTTGTCTCAACCTAATTGATGAACAAGGTAATATGAGATATGTACGATGATACAGAGTGCCAGAACCGAAATGAAATATAAATAAAGTGTATAGAATAAAATGAAATTCATGTAAAATACACGAGTTTAACTGAAATGAGCGCATTCTTTAAATCATTTACATATAATATATTTAAAAATTCTTTTAACCGGTAAAAGGAGAAGCGTAGGAAAATTATTTTATTTTAATTAATTTGTGTCAAAAACCTTTTCGTTTCATTATTCTTAGCCCTTGCCCCTCGGTGCTCCACGCCTTTTGCACCAAGGGCCTCCATGCTTTTGGTTTTTCTTTTCCGCTCCTTGTGGATTTGACTACACAATTAACCAAAACTGAGTCGTGCCTTTTAAGTCCGCTTCCGTACGCTTGCGACCAGAGGCCCGAACCGCCCTAATTGGCGGACGCCACTCCCTCATTCCATTCCAGTTTAATCCAATTCGCGCACGCGCGTGCGTCATCACCGGCTTCTGCGGTCACGTTGATACTCTTTGCACACCTAACCGGTAACTCCTCCTACCTTTCCACCTTCCAAACCGGTTTCCAAGGACTTATAAACTTCTTGCAAGAATTCATTACACTCGCCTATTGTCTGCCTGCCAGGACCACCATCATATCTCACGTGTCATCTGAACACTGGTCCACCTATCCAAAATACGAACTGATCCAATAGAGTCGTGCCACGTCAGTTGGTTGCAGGTTAATTGTGTCTAACCGGGTGCACTGGATTTCCTGGACGCACAAATGAAGTGTCATGTCGACTGGATTTAGGTGGAATTTCAATGAAATGTCACCGAAAGACAAAAGTCAGATTATTACAACAGCGCTCCGGCTCGTGTACTCTTATTCCCACTTCTGCTACGTACCATCCGCCAATCAGGCTCCGCCACGTGCAGATTCAGGAGAATTTAATTTCTGATAATTTCCCTCTCTTTTGCGAAAATATCGTTCGTGTCCAGACCACCCTGACGTGGCTCAATGCCATTGGACCTAAAACAAAATGGCGTGAAAACAGCGACCCTCAGTGCGCCTTTGGCTTTTTTAAGTTTACCTTTTGCCCGTATTGGATAGGCGATTTTATCAACAAACCAAAAAATTATTAATTTAATTTATATTTAATTCTTTAATTATTAATTATTATTATTATTTTAATTTCGAAAGCAGAGGGCAGCGGAATTGGTAGAAGCAAGAAGAGGCGCTTTTTTATTCTCTCTTTCTTTCGTTTTGTTTCTCTCTCTCTCTCTCTCTCTCTCTCTCTCTTTATTTGCTCAGAAAACAGAGGTGGAAGATTTTCTCGGAGTCCAAACAAGTCTCTTTGAGAGGTGACCTGAAGAAGAAGAAGAACAAGTTTTAGATCTGCGTCACTGTCGCAGTCCTTCAATGGTGCTGCTTCCGCCCTCTCTTTCTTAGCTGGAAGATTTGGTAAGATTCGCTTCGATCACACTACAAACTCACCTATACATACACACACACATATATATTGTGTCTCAGTCTTAGACCGGCTAAGGATACCGTCATCTACTCTTGATCTTCGGGAATGACGACTCTCGATATCCATGGATATTTTGTAGGTATTTTTGTTTGGTTAAAGCTGTGATTTTTGAGGAGTGAGAAGTATCATATAAATTTTCAATATTTTTCTTTATTTTTTTTACATTTTTGGGAAGATCAGTAGTGCGATTGTGGCTGCTTTGATCATTAAAAGTTGTATTTTGGTTTGAGTTTTGACTTTGGTTTCTGTGCTCACAGATCTGTTTGTTTTAGGTGATGATAAAAATTACAAAAAGGATGCAGTTTTATGTTAAGATTTTTTAGGGGTTTTAATTTCTCAGCGTAGTTCAATGTTGGTATTGTTTCTGATAAAAATTTAATCACACATGTGTGTGAATCTTAGTTTCTTATATAATTTTATTTTTGGTTTTTCAATGTTTGCTCAGCACTCTAACAGGGGTTGATTTCTTAATATTTTTTCTCATGGAATTAATAATATGTTGTTTGAGATTATGTGATTTATATGGCATCGGATTTGAAATCGACATATCTGATAGACAACTTGTGTTCATACTATATTGGAGACTCTGTATGGAAGGGGAGTGAAAATCCTTGAGGGAGTTAACCATTTGTACTTACTTTTTATCAATCGGCTAGTATCGAAAATAGAAAACCAATTTGATTCGTGGATTACTGAGTTCCGTTGTTGGATTTCTATTCGCGTCTGTTAAATCCATCAAGATTGTGTTTCTTGTTTCTAAGAATGTTGTTTGTTAGTCTAAAATCGGTGTCATCCTTGTATGGCCACTTTGTCCTAATGGTTTCTTTTGGGGACATTTAGTTCGTATGGGTGTTTGTATGTGTAATATGTATATACATATATCTATATATTTCTTGTAGTTTAATTCAATGATTTGTTATTATTGTGTTCAGCTGGTATCCCAGCAAATGAAAGCATGTGCAATGGATCAGACAAGATAAAACCCAATTCTTCTCCAGCAGCATCTCTCATCTCTGTTGACGAAAGTAGACTCTCCAATACAGCCATGAATCACTTGACAGTTGAAACTGAAGATGCTTTCGCCAGCTTACTTGAGCTTGCTGCGAACAATGACATTGAGAGCTTTAAACGATCAATTGAGCAGGACCCTTCTGCCATCGATGAGATTGGGTTGTGGTATTGTCGTCAGAAGGGCTCAAAACAGATGGTTAATGAGCAGAGAACCCCTTTAATGGTTGCTGCTACATATGGTAGCATTGATGTTGTGAAGCTAATTCTTTCTCTCTCTGATGCTGATGTGAACCAGGCCTGCGGGCATGATAGGAGCACTGCTCTTCACTGTGCTGCTTCAGGTGGGGCTGAGAATGCCGTGGATTGTGTGAAGCTGCTTTTAGAAGCTGGTGCTGATCCTAATTCGCTTGATGCTAATGGTCATCGGCCTATTGACGTTATAGTTGTTCCTCCTAGGCTACAGAATGTCAAATTAGCTATAGAAGAACTCCTTGTGATAAATGGTACTGCTGGTGAAAAAACTCTCACGGTGTCAACAAGAACCATACATTCAACTTCTCCTCCACTGTCAGCTTCCCCAGAAAATGGGTCGCCGTCTGCTTTAGATTTTACTTGTTCCCCAACAAAGTCGAAGTTCTATAATTCTCTATCTTCTGCATCAGAGAAGAAGGAATATCCTGTTGACCCCTCTCTTCCAGACATCAAGAACAGCATTTATTCAACTGATGAGTTCCGAATGTATTCATTCAAGGTGAGGCCTTGTTCACGTGCATACTCTCATGATTGGACTGAGTGCCCTTTTGTCCATCCAGGGGAAAATGCACGAAGAAGGGATCCAAGGAAGTTTCATTATAGCTGTGTTCCGTGTCCTGATTTCAGAAAGGGGGCTTGCAGACGTGGAGATATGTGTGAATATGCTCATGGGGTTTTTGAGTGCTGGCTACACCCAGCTCAGTATCGAACCCGACTTTGCAAGGATGGTACAACCTGTGCAAGGAGAGTCTGCTTTTTTGCCCACACCACAGAGGAACTCAGGCCATTATACGTTTCTACTGGTTCTGCTGTTCCTTCTCCTCGTTCGAGCACCTCTGGTGCTTCGGCCATGGATTTTGCTGCTGCAATGAGCCTCTTGCCTGGTTCCCCATCATCAGTCAATGTCATGTCTCCTTCACCATTCACTCCACCCATGTCTCCATCTGCCAATGGCATGTCACACTCATCTCTGGGTTGGCCCCAACCTAATGTCCCGGCCTTGCATCTGCCAGGTAGCAATCTTCAGTCTAGTCGCTTGAGATCTTCTCTTTGTGCAAGAGATATGCCAGCGGATGATTTTGATTTACTGCCAGAGTTTGATATGCAGCAACAGCAGCTGCAGCAACAGCAGCTTCTAAATGAATTATCTTGCCTATCCCAACCATCTCTGAGTAATAATTCACTGAACCGTTCTGGTCGAAGGACAACCCTAACCCCCTCTAATCTTGATGATATCTTCTCTGCTGAGAGCTTATCACCCCGGTACTCTGATCAATCATTGCAATCAGGTGTTTTCTCCCCAACTCACAAATCAGCTGTTCTCAATCAATTTCAACAGCAGCAGAGCATACTTTCACCGATCCATACAAACTTTTCTCCAAAAACTGTTGATCATGCTCTATTGCAGGCCTCTTATGGGGGCCCATCCTCTGGGAGGATGTCTCCACGGAATGTGGAACCTATCTCACCAATGGGCTCTCGGGTTTCAATGCTAGCTCAAAGAGAGAAGCAACAACAGTTTCGTAGCCTTAGTTCACGGGAACTCGGCTCCAGTTCTGCATCCATTGTTGGTTCCTCTCCAAATTCTTGGTCAAAATGGGGATCCTCCAATGGAAAACCAGATTGGGCAGTTTCTACAGATGAATTGGGTAAGCTCCGCAGATCATCTTCTTTTGAGCTTGGGAACAATGGAGAGGAGCCGGATCTGTCATGGGTTCAGTCACTTGTTAAAGAATCTCCTACTGACATCAAAGAGAAGCAAACCCCGAGCTCAGCTGTTACGGCCACGGGTTCCTCCAACAACGGTCCAAGTGCAAACTCCCAAAGGGAGGCGGTCGATCATGCAGTGTTGGGAGCATGGATTGACCAAATGCATCTTGATCTCGTGGCTCAGCAGAACTGACACAACGTGGCGGCTATCTCAAAGGTAGTTAACAAGAATGTTTTAGTATATAACATAATGCCTTTTTTCGACTCAAATTAAATAACACAATGCCCTTCTTTTTTCCAGATTTTGTTGGCGGGTGGTCTTGGAAAGTAGCTAAACATGGATTACCAGGTCACTTGAAGAAATTCATTTCACCATTTATTGTCACAGAAGTTAGAAAAGAGTAAGAATACCTCTGGGTTATACTCGAAAAAGTCGGAACCCGGTCTAGGTGCCGTTTTCATCGAAAATATTTTAAAATTTTAGGGGTTTATTATGATCATCAAATTTTTTTCTTCTAAGATGAGCAAACGTGTTGTATGAACATGAAGCTCGAAAATCATATGGCCTGTTTAATATTTTGGGTTCCTTTTATTCGTTGTCGAAATTCAGTACAAAAATTAGGAGGGGGTCATTTTATTATTGTCTCAGAAAGGTTTCTTCATATTATGAGCCTGGAGTCTGGACTGGATCTCTGGTCCATTTTTGGGGATTGGAAAGGTTGTTCTTGCTCCTAATGGTTCTTTTTTCTGATGTAATTTTGTAATACAGCAACTGCTGCTAGTAGGGGCAGTTGCTAGGGATAAAAAGAGGGAGATGGAGAAATTATGATCCTTCCATAATTGTAACATTCAAGTTTTACTGCTATTGCTATTATTCAGATGCTTATATTTTTCATGTTCTTATGTAACCTATCATTCTTTTTATCCTGTGTTTGAGTATGTTAATTGGGAAGTGATTTTCGCATCCTTATTTATTTTTCGTTGTTTTCTTTTTTTGGCCGTAGATTAAATAATCAAAGAGTGATCAAGGGACAAAAACAAGATAAGTAATTCAAAAGCCGTGAACGAGAGTGAAAATCTCTATCCTATTAAGGCTTGTCGGTAATTGTTTGTGTAGAAAATATTAATTGATTTAGTGTTCGTTTGGAAGTGTTTTTAAAATGATTGAAACTACTTTTAGTGAAAATGTTTTGGAATTAATTTTTAGTAAAATAACAAGTGGATTCTGGAAAAATAATTTATTGGTAGGGTGTGTTCCTAAAAACTTTCAAAGTTTAAGTACTTGAAAAAGCATCTGACGAGTGCCTTATGAAGAAGCATTTGACATGTGTTTTTATAAAAGACGTTTTATGATTCATAAGCACTAGCAACTCTTTTGCTGAACATAGGCAATTTTTTCAATCCTCAAAACTCAAAGCGTTTTTAGCCAAGCAATCTAAGAATATAATTACCTTTGTAATTTGATCTTCTCTGCTGGTTGTACTGGTTTTGGTTTTAGTGCGTTAATAGGATGGCATTAAGATGGGGAAATGCGATTTGGTGGGGTTCCAAATCACGATCATGGTGGTGGGATTTGAGATTATGTGGATGTGGGATTTGGGATGGGGAAAAGAAAAAGATATTGGATTTGGATTCTCTCTCAATCCTTTTGGGATATTTATAAATTCTGGGTTCTATTGTTTATTTTATGCCCAGTAGCATAACAAAAGTTGCAGATCTCACTGTTTTAATGTGATTGTATAATGATTATCATCTGCTTTTCGAAAAATATGTTACAGCTGTTTACTGGTTTAGTTATTTATAATGTGCTAATGCGCGAGTGGGTGATACGCTGCTTGGATGCGAAGTTGGTTATTTATATGTGAAAGAGATGTGTGCATTGTTTACTCCGTCGAATATCATATCATGTGATGTTGACGTTGGAATCTTATATTATATGATGTTGAAGATCATTACCTTCTTTTAATATCAAGTCATTTTTCGGTTAACAATATGTCAATGTTTCTGATTTTTTATACAAGGATAAATATATTAATAATAAAACAGAGAAGAAAATTGGGATGTTTTGTGGAATTTTTTTCATCTTTGTGTATTTTTTTCTTTCCCCTAAGATATAGGTAAACGACTCATGAGCACAAAGATGAGCCATAAAACTAATTAAAAACAAGAAAAAGAAGAAAGTTGAAAGAGACTTGGAGAGGAATAAATGTCAATAAGAAGGGGTTGGTATTAACTTTTATTTATTCTTTAATGTTGTTTGGTGAAAAGCATTGTCTAAATTTTAAGCCACTCTTTAAAGATTAATTCTGCAAAAAAAATCAAACAAACTAGAAATCTTTAAACCCCTTGATTAAAGTTTTTGAAAAAAAAAAGTTTGAGAAATTTCACAAGTAGCCCTTTACCACAGTGGTAAAGAGGATTGTTATCTTTGCACCATGATGTGGATTGGAACCCGGCTAGCTCCCTAATCTAACCACGACGTGTGCTCAAACCTGGTTGACTTCCTAATCAAACAAATCTATTGTTTGAAAAAAAAATAAAATAAAATTTCAGTGTTATGTGAGAAACATAGTTTGTCTTGTTACTATAGAACCGTTAAATGAGTAACAATTCTGAATTTAGTTAATATTTAGCATAAACATACTTGTTCCACTTTCGGCGCATAGGATTGACGGGGACATTTCTTGTTAGCAGCCAAACTTTGCCAAGAACTTGCTTAAGGACAACGAGCCCTCTTTAAAGTATTGTCGGCATTTGATTTATTTATATTTTTTTTATGAAGTGAATTTAGTCCTTGTCAACCTAATAAAAATGATGAACCCTAAACCTTTTTTTAATTTTTTTTTAATTTTTTATTTATAAAACAAAGGGTAACTATTATTACCAACAAACAAGAAGTACAAACATAAGTCCTAATACAAGATTAGCACAAAAAAAGAGACGGGCAACAAAACAAAGGGGACAAGGCCCAAAGCTAACTTTAGAGCCCAGCCCATGCAAAAAACACAACATTGAAACCAAAATATACAGCTCCTCTGATGCCTGCAAACGCCATCACCAGAAAACCCTACAACGATCACCAAGATCTGTCGCCCACTAACGTCGCCTAAGATCACACCTACAGGAACTCCAGACTTGATGAAGAAGAAGGTTGCATCATCCACCAGGGACCATACCGACCTTCACCATGAAACAAAGGAAGCCCGCCTGAAGAAAGCGAGCAACATCGCCACCAGGGGCAAACATTGGGGAGGGCCAACAAGGGCCAACACTCGAGCCGAAGCTCTACACATCCTCCCGTGGATCCGTGAAGTATTGCAATGAATATATATGGAAGACGATCAGAATGTAAATGTGAGTTATTAAAATAAGTATGTAAATATATTGTAATTACTAGGAGTCCTTTATTAGGAAGGATTTATTGTTGTGTCCTTTATTAGTTATTGTTTCCATATAGAACAAGGATTGTATATGTATATATTTCAAGGAAGTAATACAATGAGAAATTAACCTGTAAAATTCTATTTGGCATCTGAGCCTAGGTTGCTGTAACCTTAGAACCTGTAAGATAATATTTTTTCTTTTTCCGCTGTTGCTGTGCTCGACGACAGGCTGCTGCAATTTCCCATGCAGAAGCAAGTCAGGTCTTTTGCGTATGTGTGTGTGATTCTACCATGAGGATGTGTGTCGCATATTGGTTGCTATGTAGTTTTTATTTATTTATTTGTGAGACAGAATAAGTTTCCTGGAAGATAGTTCGGTTGCGAAGTTGGAGGGTACCCGTGTACCAACTAACTATCCCGTGGTGAATCTTGTGGTTATTCAGAACGATGCATCTGCTGTACCAAACACCTTGAAGATAAATGGATTGAATTATCCTCTTTGGTCTAAGGTTTTAGAGATGCACATCGCTGGACGCAGTAAGAAGGGCTTTGTGATAAGGAGTGCCAAAGAGCCTGCTGAGGGTAGTGCTGAGCATGAAATGTGGGAGATAGGGAATGCAATCATAAAAGGGTGGTTGATCAATTCCATGGAACCTACTATCATGGGATTTTTTATTCACCTGCGTATTGCTAAAGAACTTTGGGAAGAGGTGGCTTGGACCTATTTTGATGGTTCAAATATTTCTCAAATTTATGAATTAAAGGTTAATTTTTTCAGACTCTGTCAAGAGGGCCAGTCGATGGTGTGTATTACGTTGACCTCAAGTCCGTTTGGCAGGAGTTAGATCAAAGAAGACCAATCAAGATGAAATGTGCTGTGGATCTCAAGACCATTCGAGAAGAGATTCAAATTGATCGTGTACGCTTTTTTGGCGGGTTTGGATGATATCTTTGGTAAAGTATGTAGTGATATTCTACATACTCAACCTTTACCATTTGTTGAGGAAGTGTTTTCTGTTGTTCGTCGTGAAGCACAAAAACATGCCACTATGATGGGTGGGAGTAACAACTAAGGAGGGCTGCCGTCCATGGCCATGGTCTCTTGGTCAGTTGCTGCCCTTCGTCCTAATAATCTTTCTAATCAATCTTTAAATTCTTGTCCCTTTACCCGAGAAAATAAAGATGATTTGAAGTGTACTTTATGTGGACAGACCCGTCGTATTAAGGATACGTGTTTTTCCAAGCATAGGGTGTCCTATGTTTACTTGTTCAATCTTTATCACATCATTTACTTTCCATACCACAGGTTACTGAACAATTGCATTGTGTTGTTTTAATGTATCCGTCCTTTTGTCTACTTCAAGATATTCAGACCAAGGAGATAATTAGGCATGGCACTAAGAGGGATGGGTTGTACTATGTGGATGAGGTCGTTCCTGGCAGAGCTCATGCAGTTCGAGTGCTCCGTGATAGTAATTTACAAGAAGTATGGTTATTGCATTGTCGATTAGGTCATGCATCTATTAGCTATTTGAGGCGTATGTTGCCTAGTTTATTTAGTGGAATAAATGAATCAGACTTACATTGTGAAGTATGTATTCTTGCTAAAAGCCATCGTGCTTCGTTTCCTCCTAGTATGAATAAAAGACTTTTTCCGTTTGGCCTTGTGCATTCCGATGTTTGGGGACCTTCTCTCGTTGTTACTTCTTTTGGAATTAGGTGGTTTGTTACATTTGTTGATGATTGCACTCGTATGACATGGCTTTATGTGTTGAAAAATAAAAATGATGTTAATGCAATATTTCGATCATTTGCTTAGATGACTTAGTCACAATACTCTTTATTTATTAAAGTTTTACATTCTAATAATGGAGGAGAATACATCAATTTTGAGTTGTTGGAATTTCTTCGTGATCAAGGAATTCTCCATGAAACCACGTGTTTGCATACCCCACAACAAAATGGGGTTGCAGAGCGTAAAAATCGCCACATTTTGGAGACAGCTCGTGCCTTGTTCCTTGGGGCCTCAGTTCCTCAATGTTTTTGGCCTGAAGCTGTTACCTATGCCATGTATGTCATTAATCATATGCCCTCTCGGGTGGTTGGGTTTCAAACACCTTTTCAAGTCCTCACTCAACATGCTCCAGTGGTGTCTAGCAATACTCTCACTCCTCGAGTATTTGGTTGTGTGGTTTATGTTCATATTTAGAAAATACATCGTAGTAAATTGGATTCGTGTGCACTATGGTGTGTCTTTGTGGGCTTCTCATTTCACCAAAAAGGGTATAAGTGTTACCATCCTGAGACCCGGCATATGTATGTAACCACGGATGTGACCTTTTCTGAAATGGAATATTTCTACACTTCCGTACCTTCCACTTCATAGAAAACACTGTTGGTAATCTGAGTTGGTTGGATCTAAGGGGAGATATGATTGCCGAACAGAATGTGGAACCTAATTTTGTTGGTGCCATGGCTGACGTTGATGATGTTCGGACGATTCTGATTGAAC